CAGTTTCTGAGGCAGCTCTGAACAGCGGCTGCCAGCCCAGGCAGACCCCAGGAGACAGCCCTGCCAGGTGGAAAGGTGCTCAGAGCCGCCCAGAGGTGCTGGGAGCTGAGTGCTGGGCATGCAGAAAGTGGCTCCTTCCCACTTGGTAGGCACCCCTGGATGTGAAAGGTCACCCCAGTATGGCAGCAGAATTGGGGCTCAGGGTTTCAGTGACTTCCTTGTGGGGCTGCAGGGAGCCGGACCCAGTGGATCACTGCACAGGGTAAGGGAGAGGACCCAAAGGACTGTTTTGTGCTCCAGCACTACGTCTCTTGTATAGCCTCTTAAATACAGTTTGTTCTCAAGGACTGGAACATGGGGATCAGGAACTGGGATGAAGCCCTGTGACGAGTTTTTACCCTGCAACCTTTGCGGAGGTGCAGAACAGCACAGGACTCCTCTTAGCCCCTGCAAGAGGGCAGGCACCTGAGGCTTCAGGATACCTATTTGTGCCCAGCGTCCCCTCCCTGTGTGGTTTTCCTTTGGGAAGAGGATTGGGAAAACTGGGAGTAAGCAAAGAGCCTCCCTGATGCAGAGCAAGAGCCAAAAACAGTCCTGTGGAAGGGTGATGGTCTGGAGGACAGGGCCAGGGCACTCGTCCATCATTGCCCATCTGCCAGGCTGCAGCAGCCCCGTGGGCCAGGGGCTGTGGCACAGGCCCAGCATGAGCCCTTCTGGGAGGGGGCAGAGGGAGTAGGAGCAAGGCACCCACCAGCCGAGCAGGGAGGCTGCTGGCCTGGGAGGAGCCCACCGGCCGTCCGCAGGCAGCATCCAGCCCATCCCTGTGACTGCTCGGTGGCACGTGGTGCTGAGACACCCAAGCTTCACAGTAGTGGAGGGGGACACAGTGGCACCAGCTGGCATGGCTCCCCTTCACCTCCTGGAGAACAGCCACGGGCTGCCTCCAGCAGGGAGGGGGCAGAGCCCTGGCCCACGGGCACTGGGACCCACGCAGCTTCACTCAGCCCACCAGGTCCAAGAGGAGAGAGACTCGCAGCCTCTGCTGAGCGAGCGATGGGACAGCAGGAGCCAGGGCTGCCTCCCACGGGGCTACAGAACAGCCATTTGTTGGTCCAGGAAAGAGATGGCGTGACTCACGGCAAGTCTCCAGTTAGTCCTTGGGAGGGACGAGCAGGCGTGAGCGGCCTGTCCTGTGAGCGGGCAGGGCAGGTCCCAGCTCACACAGGCATGTGCAGCTCGTTGTACTCGTCCCGGCCATCCTCGTCGAAATTCGGCTCCGCATCCTCCGAGTCCAACTGGGGAGAGGCAGAGACCGGGCTCTGAAGGCCACAGCCACCCCCAGTGTGGGTTCGAGCCTGGCACTGAGGGATCAGCGTGCAGCAAGCCAGGCAGCTGGGCTGCGCTGGGAAGAGCAAAGCTCTTGCTCCTTCCCCCCACAACAGCCCCCCTTTTTGGCCGCTCATGCCTGTCCGTGCTTCCCCAGTCGAATGCCCTTTCCTACAAGTGTTCATGTTTGACAGTGTCCCACCACTGGGGCTTTGGTCCAGCACAGCAGCACCTCCCTCCTCCCCTGCTGGCAGCACGGTGTCTGGGTGCTGCCCCAGGCTGCTCTCCAACAGGAGCTCGAGATATTGGCAGTAGCGGAGGAGTGGCCAGCGCCCAAGGAGCTGCCAGCACCCTGGCACTGTGGTTACGTGCTCCTGTGCCGAGCAGCCACAGGTCCTGGTGTGCTGCTGGGCTGTCCTTGCTGCTGTCTCAGAGTGGAAATGGGGCACCTCCTAATGAAACAGCCACAAATGGGCACGAGGATGGAAGCGGAAATCCCTTTTCCAGGCCTCTGCAGGCAGGATCTTCTGTCTCCTTGCCCTAAGCTGCCCATCCATCCCACATTGCACTCCCAGGGCTACAAGCTCTGAGGAAACCATCGACCCACCTTCTGCTGTTGAACAAAGAGCCCCAGACAACAGCAGGGAAAGCCAAGGCTTTGCCACCTGAGGATCTCCCAGACTTTCAGTCTGCTGAAC